GCAACAGACAAATTTTACCTGCACCTCTTAGAATCAAGCAAGTATATGGATCATGATTGTACTAAAATGATATTTTTTTGCTGGGTCCAGATGGCATCAAAATATTCTTCTAGCTCAGTCCGAAAGTGACAAAAACAGCCCGGGCCAAATCTGACCGAGGCAGGACAGGAAAAATACCCCTGGATGATAGACATGAAAGAAAACTTCATGTTAAGAACACAGATCAGTGACAGTAATAAATACCTTTTAGTTTGCCAGCACGATGACAGCCAAAGGTTTTATAGTCCTACCTGCAAGACACAATCAGAATGATTATAGTAAATAAAATGGCTTCACCAGCCCAGTTGATTTTATGATTAATGCTTGCATGTTTTACGTTAATACAAAAAAATATTACTTGGAACCACTTTGAACAATGGTATCAGACTAATTCCAAGGCACATGATTGAAAATTGAGTTTGCGTACTAGGTAAGAGTTTACTCATTGGGATTACGTGCGATATTGCAGGTAACTCCAGAAATGTCAAATATTCATGATGGTTTCCACTCCCACAAGACTTGTCCTCGGCTTACCTTGTAAACAGCCAATACCTGGTTGGTAAAATCAACTTTACAACAAAAATATCTAGTTGAGGAAAACAATCATGTGCCGTAATGTTCCAATGTACTAGTAAGTTGTACGCTTAAAACAACATCAACAAGACATAGAAACTATCAACTGTAATAATAGTATGTGTTCAGCAGTCAACCAACGATTTAGTTTCTTAGATCTTCGAATATATTAATTTTGATTTCCAGACAATATTTTGCCACAGGGGAAATTAGAGGTATTTATTGTGTCACATGATAAGAATAGTTGAACTGAGATGAACCGATGTGCACGATTGGAAAAAAAAAAGAACCGTTGTCAGCCTCTTACCACACAGCAAAAACTGAACCTGGTTTTGAAGCTTCAAACCCCAATTTACTTGTCCTTTAGGCTAATTATCATTTTCCCTTTCCTAGTAAGTCTGTAGTAGATAAATAACTAATAGAAGTGGGAAAAAACAAATTGACAAAGATATCTCGCCTTGCAATCACTCAATTAACAGGCCCTGTACTACCAGCGCTAGCAGTACGTATGGTTCTGTCCTTGGTGCTGAACTCACCATCCCCCGTAACGATCAGAGACAAACAGCTCTTACCTTTCTCAAAACACTGTCTAAACTCAACTCTCATAATTCTTCTGCTTAACCCCAAACCACAACATTAAATAAAATGTGAAATCAAGGCATTCTGTCTTTTGACCAACTTGTGATCACTCAATAACAGGCCCTGTACTACCAACGCTAGCAATACGTGCGGCCCTGTCCTTGGTGCTGAACTCACCATCCCCAGTAATAATCTGAGAAAAATAGCTCACTCACTCCATATAACACTGGAGACATACATATTATATGATACACACACACACACACACACCATGCACACACACACAATACATATACAAAGATATACAGAGAGGGTGAGTGAGGGAGAGAGATAAATTAGTAAGATAGATATAGATAGACATAGATATATAGAAGAAGATATTAATCTGTGAATAGTTTCATCAGGTTGGTAAGACACTGAGTAAAGAGACTCTTTTTACACAACCAAGTCTTTTATTCAGCTGACGTTTTGGTGACCGTCTGTCACCTTCCTCAGGGCAATTCTGACTGGTTCACATTGAGCAACACCCTGTAATCATGCATATGTGTAGATATGTATATATTTATGTTTGGAAATGCATCTACAGCAGCAACACCTGTACTCATAGAAAATAAAGCTGAATTTGAAGCTACGTGCTTGTATCATATTTTCACAAGTTACATTTAGTACAATCTGTGCATATTAGAACTATTAGAAATACTGACTTCTTTTTTCATTACACACTTGTAAGTACATTTTATAAATTCCCTCAAAGGCATCTTGCTATGACTGATTAGTACATCAAGTAATGAATAACTTCACTTTTAGGATTATATTTTATGCTCACAGAAACATCACAAAACAGTGAAAATTGTTATATTACAACTCATCAGTTTCCATCTCAAGAAGTAAAACATTCATAACATGTATTAGAGTTAAAACTTTAAAGTTAAAAATTAGTTTCAAGCAAAAAAGTCCATTTCATTATACTTTAAAATGTTACATTCAAATTATACTTAGATCTGTTCACATTAAAATGTTACTCAAGTTACCAGTAGTCAAATCCTAATATTAGAAATGTTTCTACTGCCAAGCAGGTGCAAAACTGAAGACAATTTGCTGCTTAAAAATCTGCTTCCAAACTGAACAATCCAAGATACTGAGCATATTATATATAAACAACAGTTCAGACATACAATGTCACACAGGACACCTGTCAAACAACTATTAAAACCCCTTATTGTACCACCAACCTTTGAATTCATTACAAGTTAATAGAAAGCTCTATATTTAACATCAATCATAAATTTACTATGTTATTATATATGTGGTAAATTAAGTATTATAATAAGATGCCAACTATATTTGGCAAAATTTGCTTTAAGTAGTCATAAAAAATATTTCCTGGATGTATTACTGTAACATCTACTGTATTTGTATTTTTAATGCCTATGATAATTTCATCTCGTAACATCAGCTGCAAGAGATTCTTGTGTATGAAGTGTGTCTGAATTAACAACTTTAAAAAAATGGATATACTCCTGAATTGAATTTTTGTCTGTACTTTTTTAGATAATAATAATATTGTAGATTAATAAGATTACATCATAGTACAAATGTACTACATATGCAAACTATGTGTATGGTATTTTATATAAATAAGAAAATACAAATCAAATGGAATAAAGTCAACATCTTCTCAACTTTTTAAGATCCTTTGAACAAATAATTCTAATTGTTCTACTACAGGAGCACAACTTAGAAACAGATCTCTTGTTAAAATTGTTACAGGTATTTAGGATTTACAGGTTCATTGTACCAAGGAGGTTTAAAATCAAATGAAAAATCAAAATCAAATTGTATTTAACCTCCTTGATTGTACTGGGGAAACTCCCCTAGCACTTTTTGATAAGCACAGTATTAATAATGAAGGACCACAGCTTAATGTCCCATCCTATAGGGACTGCGACCCTTTCCAGTAGCATGCATGTTGGTTGAGCAACAACAGCCGGGATTTGAACTCCGAACCTCTTGGTCCATAGGCTGAGTCACTAACCACTGAACTACACATGCTACATATTTTCTGGCTTCTTGCAAATGTAGGGAAGCTTGTCCTGGCAGTTCTCATTATTCCACATTCCAGCTGTCCCCTTTTGATCACGGAACTTAAACTTGAAAGTCTGCAATTAAGAAACCAATTGCCTTTTTAATTAGGTCATAAATATTCTTTTCATTATATAGATGACATCCTCGCGCACATGAATTTCCCCCCAAAAAGTTTTCAACCATACTGTAAATCAATTGCCCAATGCAATGCCATCTATATGTAGCTGCAATGGCTTCAAGTAAAACCAGTACTGTAACAGTACAGCAATGTAGTAGTATGCAGCTTTGGGCTACTTAAAGTATCTGACTGTGTGATGCAGGACACAGGGAGGTCTATTATGGTGCTTTTTAAATGCAAAATTAGAAAATAAAGAAGAGCAATATTAAATATAGAAAAATAGATTAGTACTGCCCTAATCAGGAGGAAGGAAGGAATATATTGGAAGAGGAAGAACTTTTAAATTGTTATGTGAGAATGAGTACTACTTAGTTTTGGTTAAGCTTCAGTCACAACCCGCCGTACGTTCTTCTGCGTGCTGTCTACGTGCAAAAACATGGGCAAACGCAGGGCATCCGTGCGTGGTGAGTACCGCCTCCGTACAGAATCCTACAGATTTGGGAGCACGTAGACACGCCGTAGAACTTTAAGTGCATGTAAAACTTTTTCTGCGTGGGGTCTACGGATCACCACCCGTGCGTGTGAGTATGGCCTCCGTATATAACACCTTGCAAAACCGTGCGAGTGACGTGCGAGTGACATGCGTCGACGCCACTCCTTCCCCACATTTTCAGAAAAAAAACGTAGCAGACATAGCCTCCCAAAAAATGTACGGACAAAAAGCACGTACGGCGGGTTGTGACCGAAGCTTTATGGAAGGGATTTAAAGCTGGAGGTCCTATGTTTGGGCCATACCTCAAACACAATATAGAACCCATCAAAGTTATCAACCAGATTAGAGGTGCATCCCAGCATAAGCGGTTCAAACCTCACAGTCTAGTTCAAGGTTGACATCTATATATAATTATATAAATCTCAATGAATAAATTCACAGAAAGAAAAGAAACACCCACCATGATCATGGTGTACATAGCACCACAGTTCTCTTCGCGGCCCAACCAGCTCTTACCACTGGGCTCCTCAGGCGCCCAGTTTGTGTAGGTAAGTCTTGCACCATGTGTCAACTTCCATCCATCCTTGTTGTGAAGTCCAATCCAGACCTGTTTGGAACTGCATTTGACATCTACATCTGGCATTTTAAAGAAGGAAAATGGAGCTGCAGGCATGAAGGACTTGGAAGCCTCATGTCTCCTGCATATTTGACCTGTAATTTCCAACACAAAGAATATACTTAGACCATGCCAATTTAATTAGTTAGTTCTCAGATTGTTTTCAGAAAAAAATATGAAGGGACATGGTGAATTAAAAGAAAAGAAACAGGCATTCTAGTGGTATTTTAAAATGTGTGGATTTTACAATAATTAGTATAAATTACAAAGTGTAAAATACTTAGTGATAGAAATATCAATTATAATTATATTTTTTGTATTTTGTAGCCTCAGTCAGGAGCAAGATGAGATATTTTCCTATTTCTGCTCTTTTATGATTTTTGAAATTTTGTAAAGGATCATTCAACAGGTTGTTTAACTCCCTACCATTGATGAGATCTTCAATGAAGTTGTTTTCCTCCTGACTCAGGATAGAAGCAGGGTTGGCACCATGTTTTTTACATTCTCTTCTTGCCTTGAACCAGGTGAGTTTTCCTGTCTCCAACTTGTAGCAGTGCTTGTTGTATCCATGCCACCCACTTTTGCATGTGACTGTAGCATCAATAACAAAAGCTCATGAAAAGATGAAATATTAGTCTTTAATATTTTAGAACTTGGCTAAAATAATGTAACTCAGTCAGTAGCAGTATTTGGCTGAATGCTCTTAATGTATATGATGTACCAACTTGTAATTAAGAGTTTTTCTGAACTAAATTTTGTTCTATGGATCGTATGAATTTTGGCTGATTATGAAAATTAATTCTTACTCAAACACATTTACATGTATGGTGACAGGAGTCTAAATCCCTCCTACTGTAAAATTGCAACATGATGTTACCCAACACTAGTTACCATGGTGACAGACAGTCTGGTTCACTGGTCATAGACCAGGTCAGAGGTCAGTGTTTGGAGAAGAAGAAACTGAGCAAAAACAATGTTTTTCTTCTGTAAACATAAAAATCCACATACACCTATGTACACCTATGTACACCCAGTACATGGACCAGTGCAGGTTAGGTACAGGTAGATATCAGAAAAAAGTTTTAGCTGCACCAACCTGCATATACAATTGATATTACCTGTTACTGATGGCGATACAATGACTGGGTATAATGGGAGTACAGTGTGGCCACTGATGTCTGTGGACAACTCAGTTGACTCTCCTCCATGTGCCAAGATTTGCAGGGTTGAGTAGCCAACGGTTGAGCTGTCTCCCTCATCCAAGATCATCATTGGTGAAGTAGAAAAGATCTGGAGCTGCAGTGTTGAGGACAAAGCAGACGTTGAGAAGGCAACAGTTGACTCAGAGCTGATTTCCTCTGCAGACATGGTCATCCGTGGATTGTTGAACCAGAACTGAACCTCAGGCTTTGAGGCTGAAGCCAGGTTGACTTTGGCCAAGCTGTTCTCCTCATTTGTTTGCTTGTCACGGATAATGTTGGGTTGATTTGTTGAGTTATGTGCTTCCTGCAAAAAAGTGCACATCAGTGAGAAATGGTCTTATTACCAAGAGATCTCATAAACCATTTACATTGTATTTGGTACATGTAGCTACAGTATACACGTAGCTGGTGAGGCATAGGTATAATACAGGAAGACTAGTGTAGTGTAGATTGTACTCACTAATGGAGGTCTGTCAAATAAACAAACAAAATAAATAACTCATGTCACTCCTCTATAGGTTGAGTCATTGTTTCTTAATTATTCTGCAAAGCTGCTATGTGCCAGTGCACCATAAAAGTTATTTGAACAAGATAGGTGCCACCTGCACCACTTAGATTTACAGGAAGAATTTGGATCATCCTGTAAACATAATCTTTTTGTCAAAGGTAAACATCTTGAAACCACAGTCACTGTGAAAGTTTGTTTGTGCTTTGCATGTAGGCATGTATAGTAAATCAGCAATCTAAAACTATAACAAAAAATGCATAATATGCACTTACAAAATTACGTACAAGAACAATGGTGCAGGTTACATCAGAAACATCTGCACAGTTCCAACTTTATGTGCACTAAAGAAAATTCCATGTTTTACTGTACATTGTGTGTACCTACATTAACAAGCACAAATATATAATATTATTCACTATGTGCTATTTATTTTGAGCCTGAGTGAATAGCAACATGTTGGCTTACCTTACTACCAGATATGAAGAAAGGTGACAGTAAATTCCCGGTTTTGACAGAGAAAATCGCCAGCAGTCCACAGCCAAAAATAAACAGGCAAACCTGCAAGGCTTTTGCCTTGGTCCACTTCACTGTAGCAGGTTCTGAGAATAAATACAAAACAAAAGCATTAGGTACACCAAGGCATCATTACTATATAAGCTTTAACAATACAGTTAGTTTGCAAAGTTTGAGTGTGACAGGTCATTCAGTGTAATATAATGAGCTGTTGCCATGCTGTGTGCCTGTGAAGCTGGTGTGTTACACCAAAGGGTGGTATAGTATCAGCTATATATATAAAGATACAGAATCTGATACATGCACAGAACTGAACAAATGAATAAATCTGAATGTACCTCCAGCTCTACATTTCTCTTGTTCATCCTGTCTCTCTGTTCTCTCCTGTTTGTAGCGTGACTCTTCCTTGTCTCCCACATCAAGATGCCCAGATGGGGGCTCACTAGGACTATCACACTGATCGACATCTTCGTATGTTCCGTCTGTGTCTTTTTGATCCACTTCTTCAGACTCTTTGTCTATAGATGCAAATTTTAAGATTTAGTTACACAACAGCATTAACTTTGTGAAATTGCATGGCTAAGTAATAATTATTTTACAGAAGTTGGCATTGTCCAAAATTGTTCAGTACACCCTTTCTTGCTTTAGCCTGGGTACCATCCTACTTGTTAGGGAAGCGAGTGTGGGAGCCCCGGCATACAAGTAGGATGGTACCCAGGCTATTCTTGCTTAGCTTCACAGTCAGATGAGATCAAACCACAGTGGTTCTTAACTTTCGACACTGACAACTATTAGTAGATGAAGTTTTTTCTGAAATGGTAACAATAATCATGGTGAATATGCCACTGACACATTCACTGTATTTGGTTCTAGCTATTAACTGAACACTAAGGAATCAAATTGACTCCATATGTGTGCTGTTACATTATAGATCTTACATAAGCTTGCTGAATATGTCATAAGCAAAATGTACTTACCAGACTAATATAAAGATATGTATAATCATGAAAACTGAACACCCACACAGATTTTGCATCCATGGGATTGCATATAATTTTCACGATACGATTTCTGACACAACATTTGAAATCTGCAGATAGCATGTCATCCTTAAATAGTCGTAAATATGACATTAAATGACACATTCTGGCAATGTGCTATACACACAGACTGTACAGGTTTCGCTCAGGCACAGTACATTCTGCCTCTGCTATCTGTACCATATGTTTTCCAGGGCCCCACTGTAAAGCAATACTGAGGTGGACCACCTAAGATGAAACAAAACTAAACAAAGATGAAAAGATATCACTTCCCAGTACCTGTAACTTTGTGACCATCTCCCTGTGTCTCTTCTCGACTGGGAGATGCCTCCATACCCTCAGGCCTCACTACTGGTGCCCCTCCCATGCCAACATTTCGAGGAGGGAGTTCTGGTGGTGTGGCACGTTTCAAGCCGGAGAGTAAGATCACATTTCCACTGCCGAGCTTGAGATCCACATCTTCATACCCATGGTCTGTTCGCAGGTAATTATTTTCTGTTGACTTCTTTGGGTCGTTTAGCGCCATTGATGTGTCGACTAAAGAACAAATAGTATAATGATCCTTACACATTTGATACGATAACTGGGGCTCAAAATACTTTTTCTGTGCCTGTATAGGTGCAACTTATATTGAAATTTACCTGCACCAGACAGGTTTTGCTTGCACCACTCAGAATTTAAGAAATTTAATAAAAATCCACATGTTGATCACACGAAAAACTGTTCAGAAATCATTGCCATTACTTCTTTTACACACCATAGGTGGTAAACAGTCAATACAGCAAATAAAAATCCACATACATACATACATTCTATCAACAGTAACTGACCAGTGCAGGTTAGATGCAGGTAAACACCTGCACAGCTCCAATTTGGAGTCCTGAATAACAGACAATTAGGAGGAAACAACAAGTCAAGAAAAAGATCAGTGTAAATACCTTAGTTTGCCAGTACGATGACAGCCAATAGGTTTTATAGTCCTACCTGAAAGACACAATCAGAATGAAATAAAAAGGCTTCACCAGCCCACGTTGATTGCATAATTTGCAGAAATCCCTCACATGTATATGTTCAAACAAATAGCTTGAAAACCTCAGTCTTTGAACAGTTGGTATCAGACTAATTCCAAGGCGCATGACTGAAAATTGAGTTTGCGTAGGTGAGAGTTTATACTTTCATTTTATCCATCAGAAATGTAAAATATTTATTATGGTTTATACTGTGAATACCGGGCTCCCAAAAGATTCGTCTTTAGCTAACCAAGGAGGTTATAGTGTGCCTATAGTGTCCTATAATCTCAAGGGAAGTTATAGTGGGCGACCTCCTTGAGATAACAATGTCAATGAAAAACATAATAATTTATGATAAGAAAATCATCATGTTGAGAAAAACAATACTGCACCAAATTGTCATGTGAATACTGTAGGCTGTACTTGCATCAAATATACAACTACACAAAAAATATAAATTATTAACATGTATGTGCTAGTAAACAAACACATGTAGCGCAGCTATGGGAGGGGGCGTGTTTTTAAAAAAATCGGTCGCTTATTTTTCCATTATATTACTCTTCATTCGGATACATCGATAGCCAAGACGATTACAAGGCGTATGGAACAAAACTAGACGAAACTCACCTTTAAAATCGGACCCAAGACGTTTTCTGGGACGAACTTTATGGAAGATACTCCTTTGAGTTTCGAAAATGCCGCCACGTCATAGTCCGTGTTTTGGAACGCGAACCACGCGATGCACCCTGGGTGCCACCTGATACTCCAGCCGCCTTTTCTTAGATCTTCAATGTTGGTTTCTTAGATTTAGAATATATTTGATTTCCAGACAATATTTTGCAACTGAGGTATTTTACTGTGTCACATGATAAGAATAAGAGAACTGAAATGAGACTACTCGATGTGCACGATTGGAAAAAAAGACCGGTCGTACTAAGCCTCTTATAATTACCACACGGCGAAAAATGAATTCGAAGTTGGTTTTGAACCTTCAAACCGCAATTTACTTGTCCTTTAGGCTAATTATCGTTTTCCGTTTCCTAGTAAGTCTGTAGTAGATAAATAACTTCGAATAGAAGTGGAAAAAAAGCATATTGACAAAGATATCTCGCCTTGCGATCACTCAATTAACAGGCCCTGTACTACGAATGCTAGCAACACATATGGCCCTGTCCTTGGTGCTGAACTCACCATCCCCCGTAATAATCAGAGACAAACAGCTTGTACCCTTCTCAAAACACTGTCTAAACTCAACTCTCATAATTCTTCCGGATAACCCAAAACCACGACATTAAATAGAATATGAAATCATGGCATTCTGTCCTTCGACCAACTTGTGATCACTCAATAAACAGGCCTTGTACTACGTATGGCATGGTAATTCGTATGGCACTGTCCTTGGTGCTGAACGCACCATTCCGTATAATAATAATGGACAAATAGCTCACTCGCTTTTCAAAACGCAATCTAACTTGAACTCTCACCGTGTACCCTACATATGTCACATTAAAAATACGAATTTAGGACATTTTATCTTTCGACCAATATTATAACGGTAACTTTATTTCTTCTGTACATAGGAACACCGTTCAAAGTACAAGGTAGACCAGCAATAGGCTACTGTTATGTTGTTATCCTTATGTTTCTTCCTTAGAATCCGTTATTAGATGATTCAAATAGTTAAACTCAAAGCAATACAACGTATAGAACATGAACAATCACTACTGCATATCATGGTTAACAGTTTTGGAGGCTAAACTTCGCTTGCTGCATCTCTTAACGATAATAACATTATACATACGTACTAACTAGTCTGTTACCACTGAATAATAGATATTCTTTAACAGATTGTGGAAGGGGGAGGGCGTCGACTTTATCCTCACCGCCTCTCCCGAACAGCGACCTAATCCTCATACGACACAACCGTTGGAGATCGGGGTAACATTTTCTGTGATTTGAGAGAATAACTTTGATTTTGCTGTCCTTTTCTGCAAGGTCTAACGGTTTCTTTCCCCGTTCGTCCACTGCATAGCTGTTTGCGCCCGCTAGGAGTAAGAGTTCGACTGTCTCTGCGCTGTCAATGCAGGGGTGGGCCGCATGGTGGAGAGGCGTTCGGCCCTGGATAGTTCTCTTGTCTACATCAGCACCTGGATGGATGGATGGATGGATGGATGGATGGATGGATGGATGGAGTGATGGATGGAGTGATGGATGGATGGATGGATGGATGGATCGGTGGATGGATGGATGGATGGATGGATGGTTGGAGGGAGAGAGAGAGAGGGGGATAAGAATTAAAGGAAAGAGTTAAGGAAGAAAAATCTTTATTCTAGCTTAGTTTATAACCCATGTTAAGTGCATGGGTTAAATGTAATGTGCATGGTGCCGAAAACTAAAAATATTTACAATGCATTCTACAATAGAGAATGAATAAAGGACCATCTGCAAAAGAAAAAAACGCACCTTTACGGAGAAGCTTCTCCACTATTCCCCAGTTCTTGACGCCGTAGTGTAGCGGAGTGAAGCCCAGGTTGTCCTGTACGTTCACGGGCGCTCCTCTCTCCAGCAGCCAGACGACGTAGTTATAAGACCCGTACGCCGACGCGCTGTGCAGCGGCGTCACCCCTTCCACGTTCTTGACGTTGACGTCGGCGCCGCGTGATAGCAACAGTTTGAAGGCGTCGGCGGCGTCGGTTAGCGACGCTAGACCAAGCGGCGTCATGTTGGAGTCGTCCTGAGCTTCTAAGTCGGCCCCTCGCTCGAGTAAAAGGCGAATGGCGTCGTGATGCCCTGGAGTTTTTTTTATGAAAACAGATAATTAAGAAATTTACTAAATACAGAAAGGATGACGGTGTACTTAAGTTAATAAGGGTTAGAGTTATAACTTAATTATATCAGTGCCACCATCGAACATAAAAAAATCAAACAAAGATATAATGATACACAAACTAAAAAAACAAATAGATATCAGTAAAATATACATCCATGACACTGACGAAAGGTAGTGGATGCTTCCTGAAGAGTCTAACCATTTCCAAAACCATATCCAGTCAGTTGCTTGAGTAACTGTTTTTTTTTTTGGCGTATCTTATAATCTGGATGTCTAACCTTCACCGACGAGTTACAACGTATTTTGATACGCCACATTCACACAAAACTACAATCATCAGCAGTGTTTACAGTTCAATTTTGTTTTCTAACCTGAAGTTGCGGCGTCATGAAGAGGAGTCAAGTTACCGTTCTCTCTCCCGTTCACGTCGGCACCCCTATCAAGTAACAAGTTAATGACGTCACAGTAGCCTCCATACGCCGCGTGGTGGAGCATCGCCTTGTTAAAGTCGTTCAGATCAGCGCCCCTGGCGGCCAGCTGGCGTATTGCAGTCATATGGCCGTTCATAGCTGCGAAGTCGATCGCGGCCCACCCTTTACTGTCTTTCACGTTCACGTCTGCGCCGTGGTCTAACAATAGAGTTATAGCCTCGCAACAGCCGGTTAGGGCGGATAGATGGAGCGCGGTTTGTCCGAAGTTTCCCTTGTGATCAACGCTCGCTCCTCTTTCTAGCAGCAGTCGCATGGCTAGAGGACGCCTATGAGCTGCTAGTAGAAGGGCCGTTCTGTTGTTCTTGTCTTTTTCGTCCACCTCGGCGCCTTTGTCTAAAAGCAAACTTACAGCTTCGCAGTGGCCCTTCCTAGCGGCACAGTGTAAGGCTGTCCAGCCATGCTTGCTCTGTTTACCAGCTAGATCCGCGCCTCTGTCGAGTAGCAGCTCTAGAACGGAGCAACGTCCCTCTTCTGCTGCATAGTGGAGCGCTGTGCAACCGTCTGCGTCTTTTGCAGAAATATCTGCACCTTCGTTCAACAAGAGTTCAACAGTAGTGCGATTCCCAGTCTTTGCAGCACAGTGGAGAGCTGTGCGGTCTTTCTCATCTTTTGCATCAACTTCGACCCCTCTTTTTATCAACATCTCCATCACTTCACAATGACCGTTCTCTGAGGCACAGTGCAATAGAGTGCGTTTATTCTTGTCCGTCGCACCTATATCTGCACCGCTGTTGATCAACAACTCTACAGCATCACTGTGACCGTTCTCTGTAGCATAGTGAAGGGCTGTCTTTCCCAGCCGGTCCTGTATGTTAATGTCTACACCACTGATAAGTAACTTTGATAGAGTCTGAGTGTCACACTGTCCTTTCTCTGCTGCCCGATGCAGTGCTGTATAGCCATGTTCGTCCTCAGAAGAGGAGCCTGCTCTGTTGTCAACCTTGGAGCAAACTTCGTCATTGCTCTTGAGCGGTGAGAGGAGACTCATGTCGTCTGGTGTTCTTTTCACTGTCTGCAAGGGGTGATAAAACACGTATTCGTGCTAGTTACGTCATAGTTGTTGAGAATATCCACTATGTGCCATGTCATAAGCAATTGTAATTAAAAAGGATGACCAGACATGTATACATCACACATGTCAACCGTGAGCAACAACTCACTATGTTATTCTGTAAAAAAAAACTGGTAAAGAAACCAACGGAAGTAAAAATACAAAGACCAAGCCATAGGCCTCTTCTATGCGCTCGGGTCATAACAAACCTACCCCCCCCCCCAGGCCCAACTGCGTCGTGCATGCTGGTATAGCGCCAATATATGAGCTACTACGCAATGTAGACATGATGATACATGTGCATGCACTTATCCCCCACCTCGTCTGAAACCTACTACAGCTTTCTACTTTAAATCGTTGCACAGAAACTACCTTATTCTTGCCTCCTTTGTAGATTTAAGCTCTCAGAAACTGTTGATTGTTACGTCTATTCCCGGATCCACTATGTGCTGGGTCAAGGCTAAATTTAGCAGAGCTCGACCTCAAGTGCCGCGATTCGGTCCCGGTCCGCATGATCATTACGACAGTCGTCATTCCATGCTTTCTCATGGTAAAATGTAACGTCAAAGCCTCACATTATATCTTCTGATTCATAAAGTAAACAACACGTACGCGTAAAAGAACCTAGCACACAGAATAGTATCGAGCCGGGTGTCTCAAGCTTAAAAGGCGAACTGTAGCCGCCCCGAAGCCTGCTACATAGGCTATTGCAGGTTGTGACCTCTGCTAACCCAACTCATGAGGAGTATGACATAGCCATGATCAAGCCATGTACATGATTATGCCAAATACATGACTCCGACACTTCTTGGGGGTTTCCTATATACCCGAGACAAGGGGTGGGAGGGGTTTAGTCGTGGTGTGGGAGACTAAACCTAACCTAACCCCAATAGTAAGTCCCTAGCCCTGAACAATGATCCCAACTCTAACTCTAACCCTAACTCTAATACCAACCCTAACCCTAGCCCCACAGCCCTAGCCCTAAACACCTGACCTCTCACATATGTGGCAGCTCAAGGATTTGGCTGGACACCGGTACTAGACAGGCATGACAGCTTGTCAATACAGGGAGTGGTCACTAGTACACAGTACAACACCCTACTGGGTGGGCATAGTAGAGGCGAAAACTGTGAAGCTGAACTAGTTGGGCCGTCTTTTTGGCTATTGACCACTCTGGAGACGTTCTTGGACTAGTCTATCAATGTAGGGATGTGTCAGTGATTTTCTTGGCGTACATGTAAACTAAGTTACAACGGACTTAGGGCAGGGCAAGGGCGTCAACTCGTCAAAGCAGGGAGTGGTCAGTGCAATAACCTACAGGTCAAGCGTTGCTGAAGAAAATCAGTCTTTTAGAGATTTTGTCGTCATCAAGATGGGGTTGGACGTGGTGTTTTCCTCTCTAGGACCGGTCTGTATGGTCCTTTTGGCGTTCGTTTCCACAGGTGAGTCTAGCTTAAAAATTTCCAAGCATAACTGGTTCATACTGCATGCCTACGTCTATTTGCCTTAGAATTTTCTTTCTAAGTAAACTCAAGCTTTTATTACGAGATTTACCAAGCCCAAAGTATTTCGAAAAATCTTCTCAGCCGATAATCATGTGGAATGCTCGGCACTTGCATTATAAGTTATAAAGTTTACATTCCTACTTTGTTTAATGTCTTGGGACATGTACAGAGAGAGTGAATAAATGGTTTTCTTTTTTCTGTTCTTTTTTGTAAAAATAATGGCTTTCCCTAAATGTTTAAAAAAATATCCGGTGAGAAAAGCCTCTTAAATCGTCTGCGTATCAAGGGATATTTCTATCCTATACATTGAAGCATTCTCCAGCTCGCTTGTTTACTGAATGAATCAGCTTCCCACCACAATATGTATTTGTTCGTGAACACTTGGGTTGTTTTCCTTTGACTTCAAACGAATGGTTTGAAAATTTTGAATCGTGAACACACATTGTATTCATTCCTTCTGTAAAGATCAAAAGAATGAAACACACTCCTTATACATGTACTAACTTATATACAATTGCGCCGCTGCCTACCTTTATCACACTAACTCCGAGCGAACGCAATGAAAGACATTAGACAAGCCTCCCAGTTGTATTTTGCTTTGGCTTCTTTAAAAAGTAAATAACTTTCCAGTGTATACTAGATATCGAAATTAGCAGGCCTACGGGCTTTTTTGGCTTATAATGTCCTATTTTCTGATGCTATACATCAGTTATAGGGCTGACTACTACAAACTGTATGATCAGAAATCAGCACATAAAAAACCTAAAAAGCCCGACCTGTAAGCCTGTTGTGAGACTAATGTGTACCTAGTCGCCCGACCCTCCCTGCGTACCTGTATGTCAGTAGGCCGTGAACACAGACCCAGATTTACTGCTTCAGTGGTAGTGTGTTCTAACGGGGGATCAGGTAGTTCGGGGTTGGTCATCTGAATTTCATGTACATGGAATAGACAAGTTTTCTAACTGAATGTTTCATTGGTCAACGTTAGCGTTTACAGAAAGATTCGTGGGGAAACAGAACGAAGTGTGTTGACACAATGTCTACTGTGCTGTTGTCATGATTATTGTGATAGTACCGACTGTTTAAGGAGTTGTTTGCTGATAAATTTCGAAAACAATCAACGTCAAAACACTGGAGATTGAATATCTTATACAAAGTTATAACTAAAGTTCTAAACGTCAGTTTTTTTGGCTTGCTTGTTTCTTTCTTTCACTAAGACAGACCAAACCAAAATAAACGAAAACAAAACGAGATTTAAGTTGGATTGTTTGTCCCCTATCGCCCTAGATGTTTTTCATAAAATGATCAATTATCAAACGTGCATAAGACTTGGGCTATAGACGTCCCAAAAATGACTCCATCGCTCTTTGGAACACTAGCTTACGATTCTTGCGGTGCGAGATTTGCCCTGGTTATTTCTGCCCTGGGTGACCCAGTTTTGCCGGGGTGTTCTCCCCTAACAAAGCCCGATCTGATCCCGTCTGTACGCAAATATTAGCCGAGCGCACCTGACCGGTACACATCCCGCTAACAAGGAATGTCTCCGGCCTTCTGGTCTTACCGCTAACCGTCTACATTAACATTTAATTCAAATTCGTCTTACATAGGTTGTCGTTTTAAAGATTTTCATGCTGTAGCATCTTTAAAGCAGGCTGTGAGAGAACCAACCGGAGATATATTGTAGAGGTGTACAAGTTCTTAGTCAGCAGTTCTATTCAACATTCTGCAAGACATAGTACGCGTTGAGCGAATTTTGATAGACCCATACCAACTGGTAATCTTTTGCCATACATTGTACCTGTTAAAATCGTTGTGCTATAAACTTTGACGTGATTTCACTTGGCTTGACTATATTCAAGCCAGCGGATACATTTTAATGGCAGTTATTTCTATGTAGCATAGCCCAGAATGATACATTTGACTTTCCTCAGCAGTTGACGCGGACGGCCACTGTTTGGAGCCGCTGGGGATAGAGACAGGAGGGGTAGCAGACAGCCAGCTGACCGCGTCCTCAGCGACGCCTGGGTTCGAGGCTAGATGGGGCCGGCTGAACGGGGAAAAGGCGTGGCAGATGGACACGTTCGACCAATCACAGTGGCTGGGCGTGGACCTGGGACGGAACTGGTTTGTTTGTTTGCTTGTTTGTTTGTTTCGCATATCCGGTAAACCAGTTTTGTACAGTACGTACAAGCTGCTTTAGAACGGACTGTAAGGTTTGAACTTGCTTTTAACAGACTATGCTACCTAAGCTATATATAATTGTACCCGTGCGTGCTCTACAGGTATGTGAGCGCCATCAGGACGCAGGGCCTGGCGCCAGGCTATATCGAGTCCTACAGAGTCGTGTATCGGGTGAATGGTTCGACTGAGTACACGGTCTACACGGAGAACAGACAGGCAAAGGTTGGTAGACCATACTTTTTATATAACTGTGGTATCTTTGAGGTATCTTTGTGTTCTTGTCTGCAAATAAGAACTACTCGTAAGTTCTCACTTTACTGCTACGTCGATGAAGATTAGACATCCAGGTAATGAGATACATAGGGAATTGTTACTCAAGCAACTGAACAGAGATTGTGAACTGTCAGACGTTTCAAGTAGCATTCACTTCTTTTGCTCAGTAACAACGCTCAGTAACGGAATCTGTGTTCACTGCTTTGTAATCAAGTATCAAATACCTACCTAGAATTTAATTAAGGTACTCAGAAGAAGACCACAATCTACCCAATATTAAACTATACTTGCAGACGGAGTCGTTCTGTTCTCGTTCTAACCACGTTCACTGCCGTGTCGTCAGATTTTCCCAGGTAACGCTGACGGTGAGACGGTGTCCCAGCAGACCCTGTCCCCGCCCGTGTACGCGCGATACGTCCTCATCAACCCGGTAACCTTCAGCAGCACGCCCAGACTCAGGGTGGAGCTACTCGGGTGTGAAGGTACGTTTTGGTTTGCGAGTTTTTCATCCGAACGTATAGTACGTGTAAATCGTTTTGTGCGCTCAAGTACCGCACAAAATGTAACATATGGCGCTTATGTTCCAAAGCATTTACCAAGGGACTGGCGAATTTTTGTGTGTGTGTGCGCGCGTGTGTGTCTGTCTGTGTGCCTGCTTAAAAGTGTGTATGTGTGTGTGTGTGTGTCTGCCCGTGTGCCTGCTTAAAAGTGTGTGTGTGTGTCTGTCTATGTGCTTGCTTAAAAAGCATTTTCCAATGCAAAAGGGAAAAGGGGTGAAGTCTAACATCTCTGATTTTGTACGTAAAGAGAGCTACAGTTACTTTTCACAGTTTTTATTAAGAAGCATTTGCAGGAAAACACCTATTTTATTTACATTTTCAAATAAAAAAAATTTCCCTTCCTTCCTTCCTTCCTTCCTTCCTTCCTTCCTTCCTTCCTTCCTTCCTTTCTTCCTTCCTTCACTCCTTTGTTAATTATCTTCTTACGTTTCAGACGTGAGAACCGAAACGACGCCGGCGATCTCAGCCGGGTGTTACGAGCCTCTGGGTCTGGAGGACGGCCGCCTAGCGGACGACAAAATCACTGCAACTACAGAAACAGCAGGGTTCGAGGCGTTCCGAGGCCGGCTGAACGGCCGCCGGGCCTGGCAGATGGGAACCGTGGACAGGAGTCAGTACCTGGCCGTGGATCTGGGCGAAAACCTCTACGTGTCGGCGGTAAAGTTACAGCCTCTATCATTTTTAACGTTACCAGTGAACTAATACTAATAGTCACAGTCTTTATGTAGAATAGGCAATGCCATGTAAACGATACATGTAGTTTAAGAAGTAAATATAGCTTGAGAATACTAGAATACTAGTAGGTATCATTCAATCTCAAAGGAGATGGTAGCACTCTAAGTCTGATGTTGTGGCCGATTGCAGTGTCTAGTGTGGCTCGTCAGTCCCATATTCGCATGACAGTGCTGGCCACAGTTGGGACATATATGAAAGTTTAATTTATTCACTTTGAAACATGTATACGTTGACTGTTTTATGGACGATAGATCTAGTGCTAATATTGCTCTATACATGTACATTTGACTATTAGGTGAACAATAGATTTTAGTGATAGCATATGATAGATTTATCTCTTGCCTTGTTCCCTATCAACACTACAGGTAATAATAATTTACTAGTACCTTAAGCTTAATTCATGATTTCTTTCAATCTTTCCTTCAATCAGGTGAAGACTCAAGGACAGTACGGTGGCCACGTGACAGACTACAGACTGGTGTATCAGGTGGACGGGTCATCTGCTCTCAACCCTTACAGGGAGAACGGAACTGAGAAGGTACGTGTTTAAATATAGCTCCCCTCCCTTATGGTTTAAACACAAGCAAACACACCTGTCCTTGGTGCTGAAAACCATCCACACGGTTAAATATCCCTGTCCTTGGTGCTGAAAACCATTACACAGACAAACACACCTGTCCTTGGTGCTGAACATCTAAGTAGAATGAGAGTGAACAATACCTCTTGATCCCCAAGGCCATAGAAAGCAGAAGTCTTGAGAGGCTGTCCAAACCTCACTCATTGTATTATGACGACTAGACAACAACCTATGAGAAATTGTATGATTTAAGCCCTACAATTTAGCATTCTATTGAGATTTTTGTGGGAGTGATCAGAGTTCTTCAATCAAATCAAAGGCCATCAGCAGGGAAGGTACTGCACATTTCTTACCATCTACCTTTGACATCAAAGTGTGCAGCCTGAACAGTGAGAACTGTTGGACATTAAGCCTCCTGGAAACATGGTGTGAAGACTATAGCCTACAGCTACCCACCCCTACCAGGGACTCTTGCAGCAGTATCATCTAATATTGGATACAACTATAGAAGCTGAAGAGGTTAACCTTAAGAAGGGTTGTATGTTATAACATAGGGTAGTCTATTTTTCCTCCTAACATCTGCTTGAAAATTAAGCTGGCCTTCAATATAACCCTACCTTCAGTAAAAATGTACAGATTTGAAAGTAGCAACTTTGTTAACTGTAAAATATCACCATTCCCACCAGCATTAAATTATATGAGCTGATAAAGGCATTAGTTGTTACACATCACCCTGTTTCTGTTTCTCAGCTGTTTCTGGGAAACAGTGACAGTACCACAGTAGTTACTACTGTGGTACTGTCACTGTCATATAACACCAGCTGCTCCAGCCTGTGTACATGCGGTATCTCCTAATAAACCCACCAAACAAACAAACAAACAAACAAACAAACAAACAAATAAACATCTCTGTTTTTCTGTTGCTCAGCTGTTCCCAGGAAACAGTGACAGTACGACGGCAGTAGAACACCAGCTGGTCCAGCCTGTGTACGCACGGTATCTCCTGATCAACCCACGGGAATACACAGCCATACCCAGGATGAGAGTTGAACTCTTCGGATGTAAAGGTATCGCACTTAAGTTTTTCATATACTGTAGTTGTTAACAAATGCCCAGGTCCTCAACCCAACCCTCATTGTATGGAGTGCTTATAATCTACCGTAACAGTTGTCTTCCTAACATTTAAGTAACGTAGCAATGTGGACTAGCCCCCTGCTATAGTCATTGCACTACTGTGTGGCCCAAGGGCTATTGAACTGTAGATTGGAGCCGCCCTTAAATTCACCACTTGGTTCAGGAAACATTTATGAATGAACTTCCTAACGATGTGTACTTGTCTATCTGAACTCTCCCTACAGAAGTCCCAGTTGAGTCCACCCTTGTCTCCCCCACCAGAGCTGCCCCAGTAGAACCCACATCCCCAGCCCCGACCACAGCCTGCCCACGGCCGCTGGGCATGGAGGATGGGACTATTGTAGATGATCTCATACGTGCAACAACACAGGTATCAGCTTCATATCATACTGCATGTCTAACAAGGCATGACAAAAAGAAAACTACTGTCCTCTTAACATCACAAAACCCACACATCACAGAAAAAAGTGGGATCATTCGTCTTCCACTGTCTCTATCTATAATCTATTTAGTTAGTTAGCTAACTATTCCAGTATGTATCTATCTCTGTATATATATCTATCTCCATACATCTTTATCTATGTACATCTGTTTCAGTCTATCCAGCATGTATTTGTATGTATCCATTTATCTTTAGTATACTATTCATCTCTCGTATCTGTCCATGTACGAGTGTTTCTCTATCTATTATCTCAGTTGCAGCGTATGTGTACAAGCCTGTTTACTTAGTACTTATACCTGTATAGCTTTGAGATCTGCAGTCTGAATATGGCTTTTCTATCCCAGATTGCCGGGTTCGATGCGTTTAACGCCCGGCTGAACGGCCCCAGTGCGTGGACCATGGGTCTGGTCAACACCAACCAGTTTCTGGCCGTCGACTTTGGACGGGATGTTAACGTCACAGGTAGTCTAACTTCATTCTCTTGGATTATATTTCAATTTACATGTACTTAAAATTAGTTAAATAGTAATACCTTTACTTGGTTTTAATAATATTATCATCATATTTCATTGCATTGTATTTCAGTCAATTTCATGATTTCATTTGATCTTACTTCATGTTAACTCTATTCAAACTTTTCTTAATTGATCTTCTCTTAATTATCAGTCAACTAGCTTATCTCCAAGCAGATGTGTTGGTTGCAAGACAGTACTATCATTAGCAGGGTAGTACCCAATTTGCCATCCAAAGGCTGGGGGAAAAAATACCAATACACAAATTTAAGAAACCCCAACTAAAAAGCCCAAAATAAGCCGAAGCCTAAACCTCTACTTGGAGAGTACTATTCTACAAAGGGCTAATTACAAAAACAAACTTTAACACAAATTAACATAGTCAAAAGACATTGAAACTCAAATCGTTCAACTAATATATATACCCTACCCCACCCAAACCAGGTATCCAGACCCAGGGCCTGGGAGAGGGGCACATCAAGACTTACCGGATCGCCTACCAAGCAGACGGCTCAGACCAAATACTGCCATACTTAGAGGACGGGGCTGTCAAGGTAAGTAATAAGCCTCCATCAGGCCTTAATACAGGGGTTTGGATCGTAGAATTCGGCTGGGCTGAAGCTGGTGTTTTAATCCAAAGGGCAGTTATACTGGCTTACAGATATATAGACAAGCTGGTTTGTTACGCTGAAGAGCGGTAACTTATACCAGCTGTATAGATACAGGTGTAACCTCTACCAGGCTTCGGGAGGCGACTGAAAAGAGTAAAAATCAGCCAAATGGAGAATAGCATGCCAAGGGAGTTTGGTCTGCTGGAGAGAACAGTTTGCCTCTCTATTTGGCCGATTTCTACTCTTTCCAGCCGCCTTCCGAAGCCTGGTAGACGCTAACACAGATCAACATTTGACCAATTCAGAGTCAAATCAGATTGAGATTGTTCTGTTTTCTGTTGCAGATTTTCACAGGGAACAGTGATGGAGACTCTGTAGTCCAGCAGGACTTCTCCCCGCCCATCCTCGGCCGGTACATCCTCGTCAACCCGCAGACTTTCACAGCTGTGCCGCGCCTCCGTATAGAACTACTGGGATGTGACAACTTATAAAACCTGAGACATAGATTATTAGCATGAAAGTTTATCTGTGTTGGTATAAGGCCACACCAATTTAATTTCTTGGTTAACGGATTCGCCTGCTTCATTTTTTTTTCTGATTTGCAAATAAAAATAAAAATTCAGAGTCAACTGCAAAATGCTCATATTTTGCCCTGAACAGTTGAAAACAGTCCTTTTCATCCTAGTTGTTACAGTTATTCCATCTTTCAATGCAGTGGTATCATTAAAAGTTCAAAATTCATTGTTTGAATTTTGAACCAGCCTGGTGTGTTGACTTCATTGCTCCTACTGTCACCATTTTGGGCCATAAAAGGATGCCTAGGCCTGTTTTTATTTTTATTTTTTCGCCCGCCCGCTTCATTATTTTTCTAGAAAAATCCATTAACCAAGAAATTAAATTGGTGTGGCCTTGGCATGAATGTTCATCTGTGTTGGTGTAATACATTATGACAGAAACACTAAACTTTATGTCCAACACTCCCAACACATTGGGATCCAAATTTTCGTCTGACACCGAACAAGGCTTTTTGTCATATAACTCATAGATTATAGTTAACCATAGTTAATAAAGGTTTAATGCACTGCCCCGAGTTGTATATGGTGTCATAACTGCATGAGCAGCTGCCATAACCACCGAATAAACCACCGTGTGAGCGAAGCGAACGAGGTGGTTTATGAGGTGGTTATGGCAGCTGCCCATGCAGTTATGACACCATATACAACGAGGAAAAGGCAGTGCATTAAAATTATTATCATATAGCCTATCCAAACTGTCAATCAACACAATTCCTGTTTGAAATACAACAGCTTTAATATATATACATACATAAGAATACATTCGAATATATTATACGCTTTAAAACAAATATGGATAATTTCATTTAATGCAAATTGTAGTTTAAATGAAGCAAAACAAAAAAGTTTATTGGACAGAAAAATGCTACAAAGGTTTACAGAAAGAGTCGCATGCCCCTATACCCTATAACATAATGGTATCAGCCATAACACGACATGTGCTGTTATTCCGCCATAACACCACATGTGCTGTTATCGGGAAATAACAGCACGGGTATCCGGGCCTCTGATTGGTCCACGCCGTCCGGCTATATGATAATTATATTTAATGGGGTAGGGAATTTTCATGCATGCTTCGTATTTGCCTATTGAGACAGTCAGTTAGTCTAACTTGCCTAAGCTTGATGTTTTTAGACTTCTAAAGGGAGAAGAAATGCTGCTGCAGTGAGTGTTACAGTAGTTCAGTACCTAGAAGTGGTCTATGTGGATTTGCATTGAGTACATTCGTTAAGAAAAAGGAAAAAAAAAAGCGAACAAGGAAAAAGCAAAAAAAAAAAAATCCTTAAGTAAGTGTGAATAGCTTAATGTGTACAGAATTATATACTTTGCGGTTCATTTTTTTATTAGCCATTGGCACGATATGTACCATAAGAGGCCTTCCAGATTACTGAACATTCTTTAGTTGTGTCTCCATGTGTGAAAAGCTTAGTACACGTGTACTATATAGAATTATACCTTGCATTTGTTTAGGAAGTATTTAAATGGGTGGACTTATATCGACGTTTTGATTATGATTTTTAAAGGCATCCAATACATGTATTAATAACAGTTATCTTTGTTCAAGACTTCACATTAAAATATGAAGAGGAAGCTAAAAGAACTTTAAGAAAGTGCTCAAGTCAACTGAAATATGATTTAGACATAGTAGTGTAGGATGCTTGCCTGGATCATTCTATTCATTTATGTAGCGGTCAATGTCAAGTTCAACGTTGATCATATGTAAATTCATGCAAATGTATACAGTTCAAGTTCAACGATAATTAATGCACATTCTATGCAATTTTATTGGGATCTCTAGTTGTACGAAAGAGTCAATTTAGGATAATAAATGGGGCATAATAAATCCACTGAGATTGGATAATAGCTACACAGTCAGCTGTTACAGGCTTTCAATTCATTCATATTAGATGGTCTCACGGCCAAGCCTGTACAAGGCTATCAACCCCCTTTGGCCAAACCTGTACAAGGCTGTTATGGTTTGTAGCATGACGCAATCACGCAACCACTGTGACTCGTTCCCAGGTTTCGACAACAGGGGCTAAAATAGAGATTTACCGAATCCCGGTATAGTGGAATATTTCGCTAACAATCACCTCTTGTACACCCCTCTTCTTGCTCGCGAGTTTATATTGTTCCGATTCTTATAAATTTAATTTTGTTTTGGACAATATACGAGATCTTGATCGTCCTACGACAGAAGTACGAAGAAATGCAGTACGCAATCATCCCCTATGTGAGACTCATTTGTTTTTATGCTAAAAGTAAGACCTAGAGTAACATGTAAACAAACATGGCGGCCCGGTAATCAATGTCAGTACGGCAGAATATCGGTCGTGTTCTGTAGTATTTAGCAGGATTTGAAGACCACCAACCTTCCGTGCACCGAGTTTAGAGAGCAGACAAGCATAAGGGACAACCATAAACCGGGATGAAAACGTATATAATCGCGCAGACGACGGGAGATTGGTGTCTGGTTCGGTCAACAAAATCTTCTATTGTGAATGCAGTAAACTGAAAGAAACGAATGAATGATTGACCGAACGAAAAAGTGAAACGTGTCCCTTACCTATGGCTACGTTTTCAATCAAGAGAGTTCTGCACACGACGATCGCTCACAGTAGACTGTTGTTGCACCTCACAAATCGCCAGAGGTCGCTGCTACACGGTACATATGCCAGATAGTGTCAATACGTTTCTCCGACGTCAGGGCGCTTTGCAGTCAAGAGAGCGCCTATTTCCAACTGTAACTAACTATTATATATCATTACTTCAATTCTAACCATAGCGATAACCAAAACAACGGCTAAAAACATGGGACGGCGAAACATAACAGGAAATGTTGCTGTGAGTGACTTAATTTAGTATTTTGTACAAAGATTCATCACAAAGGCTAGTGTGCAACTGCACTACTACAGTAACGTCATAGTTACGTCAGCCACAGGTAAATGTGACCCTGCAGTTTGGAGACAAATCGCTAGAGTCCACTGCTACACAGTCATCTGCCGGATAGTGTCAATACGTTTCTCCGACGTCAGGGCGCTTCGCAGTCAAGAGAGCGCCTATTTCCAACTGGAACCCTAATCATAACTTCAATTCTAACCATAGCGATAACCAAAACAACGCCTAAAACATGGGGCGGCGAAACATAACAGGAAATGTTGCTGTGAGTGACTTAATTTAGCATTTTGTACAAAGATTCATCACAAAGGCTAGTGTGCAACTGCACTACTACAGTAACGTCATAGTTACGTCTGGCACAGGTAAATGTGACCCTGCAGTTTGGAGACAAATCGACAGAGGCCACTGCTACACTGTACATCGGCCAGGTTTCGTCCTGACGTTTCGCCGACGTCAGGACGTTTTGCAGTCAAGGGAACGACTATTTCATACTCTAACACTAATCAGTTCTTTGGCAGTAACACTCGCGGTGCTGGCCGCAACTTATATCAGGACCTGCGCATGCTTTCGGGCTAATATTTTCTATATCTGACGGGAACCGCGTCTAGACGGCGGAATGTCAGATCAGACGGTGATGGCGAACTTGGCCGTTCCTTGGCCGTTCCTAGGCCGTTCCTAGGCCGTTCCTAGGCCGTTCCTAGGCCGTTCCTTGGCCGTTCCTAGGCCGTTCCTAGGCCGTTCCTAGGCCGTTCCTAGGCCGTTCCTTTGCCGTTCCTTGGCCGTTCCTAGGCCGTTCCTTGGCCGTTCCTAGGCCGTTCCTAGGCAGTGAGGGGGGTGGAACTTCAGGCAGATGGTGAGGGGCCGATAAGTGGTACCACGGCTGAAATTTTGTTGCTATGATTATCGCTAATTAATTAGTGTTAGAGTATGAAATAGTCGTTCCCTTGACTGCAAAGCGTCCTGACGTCGGCGAAACGTCAGGACGAAACCTGGCCGATGGACCGTGTAGCAGTGGCCTCTGGCGATTTGTTTCCAAACTGCAGGGTCACATTTACCTGTGGCTGACGTAACTATGACGTTACTGTAGTAGTCTTAGTGCAGTTGCACACTGACCTTTGTGATGAATCTTTGTACAAAATACTAAATTAAGTCACTCACAGCAACATTTCCTGTTATGTTTCGCCGTCCCATGTTTTTAGCCGTTGTTTTGGTTATCGCTATGGTTAGAATTGAAGTTATGATAAGGGTTACAGTTAGAAATAGGCGCTCTCGAGCTCTTGACTGCGAAGCGCCCTGACGTCGGAGAAACGTATTGACACTATCCGACAAGGACCGTGTAGCAGTGGACTCTGGCGATTTGTCTCCAAACTGCAGGGTCACATTTACCTGTGGCTGACGTAATAGTTTGGGCACAACATGTCCAATCAGTGGCCCTCCAAAGGACTGAAATGTTTAACCAAACATGAAGATCACACACGGATCATACCTGTTCAGATTTGAGAGATAAAAAGTGACATTCTCCAAAAGTATGAAATCAGCACCATTGTGTTTATTTGTATTTTTTACTATCTTTTTCGATATGACCTAAGCATCGTACAAACATGATTTTATATGTATATATTGCAGCTTAAATAAACTCTCCATTTCTGACACCTCGAAGCAACATGTCCTGCTCAGCAGTTTCTTCAACATTCCTTCGTGGTCTTCAGATACAAACACATTAGACGTGCGTTTCCTCACATTAGGCTCATCTTCCATACAGTTCAAACACTCCACTGTGCCAGTACTCTCTCCAAATATGATGTACAGTTTCAGCCCTGTTAAATATTTTGTCCTTCTTTTTGCCTTTCGTGGCCCTTTATAGTAGCCCTGTACAGCACGTATTCGTTTTAATTCTTGAACCCTAAACCACAGCGCTCTCTCTAAATATGTTGTACCGTTTCGGTCCTGTTGAATATATAGCATGTTCATGTAGATATTTTCTACTTCGTCTTGCTTTTTCGGCCCCTTTTCACATTTTGAACCCTAAAACACGTCTCTCTCTCTCTCTCTAAACGAAGGTACTGTCTCAACCTTGTTAACTGTTGCTAGATATTCTCTCCCTTTTCTTACCTTTAACGGTCCCTAGTATCTCTGAATAGCACTTTTTGAACCCATGTTTATCTTGAACTAAACCCTAAAACACATTGCTCTCTCTAAACATAATGTAAAGCCCTGTTAAATATTACTGCTAGATATTCTGTCCTTCGTTCAGCCTCTCGTGACCCGTAGTAGCCCTGAACAGCACCAATTTATCATTTCTTGAGCCCTAAAATATAGCGCTCTGTCTAATAAGCATGTTGTGCCTGCCCTGTTAAATATTGCTAGATATTCTCTCCTTCGTTTAGCCTTTTGTGGCCTTTACTAGCCCTGAATAACACTACTTCTTGAACCCATATATACTAGTAGAGCCCTAAACCACAGCGGTCTCTCTAAACAAGATGTACTGTTTCAGCATGTTTGGCAGAGGGAGGGTATGAACGTTCTTCTCCTTATCCTGCCCCATGACCGTGTGAATCTTCATCCTACACGACCGTCTCAGGTCCGGAGAGAACCTGTCGCGAGTAGACATCAGCAGCAGCTGACTCCGGCTGTGTTTCGGGGCGACGTCTGCCGGCTTCTTGCCGTGGTTATCCACCAGGTTCCCGTCCGCTCCTGCCATCAGTAAGGTCTCCACGATCGCGACCTTATCTTCTACTGCTGCCCGGTGAAGCGGCGTCCAACCTAATAAGATCGAAGATGAAAAACTCATTTTAGTATGAATTGTCCACTATATCATGATCAATGCACAAAGCGTTCAAGCTATGTATTAGTATTTCAATTTATAGTTTTTGCTATAATCACAGCGTCTTTGATTATGTTTAGTTGTGGGGAAGGCCTCGAATAGAGTGAGGTTATGTGGCGTAATGGCAGAGCATACAGAGCAGTCGGCTCAGAACCAAGAGGTCCCGGGTTCGAGTCCTGCCAAGTAACCATCCTTGTGCCTTTGGGAAAGGCACTTTACACGACTTTCCTCACAGATAAAAATGAGTATGCCAGAATGATCATTATCATGATCGTGGGCATTAAACCAAGCCAAACCAATAGACAAAATTGGTCTCTACCATCCCCCATCACAATTTTCTTATGTAATTTCTTTCTATTGGTTTTATCATTCATTTATGTGGTAAAAACAAAGAATACAGAACCTGCGTTGTCCCGAGACCACAGGTCCGCTCCTCTGTCTAACAGTAAGTTGATGGCGTCTTTATGGCCCTTAGAAGCAGCGATATGTAAAGGCGTCCAGCCACAGTTGTCCTTCGCGTGCAGGTCTAAACCTCCAGCCAGAAGAATATTTATAACATCACAGTGTCCTTTTAGTGTAGCCAGGTGCAGGGCTGTTCTGCGTTTGTTGTCCTGTTTGGTAAAGTCTATTCCCTCTCCCAGAAGCTTGCTCACCGCTTCTGCATGTCCCTGTAGCGCCGCTAGGTGAAGTGCGGTTCTACGGTTCATATCCTTGATGGTTAAGTCCGTGTCTAGCTTCAGCAAGAGCGCGATGACACTGCAGTGCCCGTTCCAAGCAGCGTGGAAAAGCGCCGTCCAGCCTGCTTTGTCTTTCGTATCCAAGCCAGCGCCGCGGTTTATAAGCAGGCGGACGATTTCGCAGTATCCGTTCGCCGCTGCAAGATGTAGAGCCGTTCTATTGTTCATGTCTTTCACGCCAATGTTCGCTCCTTGCCGGAGAAGGTAAGAGATGGCGTCGGGGTCTTCGTTCTCAGCTGCCAGGTGCAGGGCGGTCTTACCATCGCGGTCTTTAGTGTCCATGTCGGCTCCCCTGTTTAGGAGAAGGTTGATAATCTCGCAGTAGCCGTTACAGGCTGCGATGTGGAGAGCGGCCCGCTTTCCGTAGTCCTTGGCGTCCAGGTTTGCTCCCTTGTCTAGTAGGAGACTCACTGTGTCTAATTGACCGTCGTCTGTGGCCAAGTGTAGCGCCGTCGCTCCTAAACTGTCCTTGGTAGCCAAACTTGCACCCTGCTCGAGCAAGACTTCCACGCAGTCACAGTTTCCGCACTTTGCCGCGTATAGTAGCGCAGTTTGGCCGTCCTTGTCTTTGGAGTCGACGGGTGCGCCGTAGTTGAGTAAGATTTTAACCGCTTCGCTGTCATCGCTCTGTGCGGCCAGGTGGATCGGCGCCCTCCCACGGTTGTCCTTGGCCGCCATGTCTACCCTTCGATTGAACAGCGTTCTGATGACGTTGAGCTGACCGTACGCCGCCGCTAGATGCAGCGGAGTCCACCCCTCGTTGTCCTTGGACGCTCCGCTCGCCCCTGCGTCGAGCAAGACGCCGATAACTTCACAGTGACCGTTCCGTGCTGCATTGTGGAGCGCCGTGCGCCCCTGGTCTGTTGTCAGAGACAAGTCCGCTCCACGGTTTAGTAGTAGAACGACCGCGTCGACATGGTCTTTGTGTGCCGCGTAGATGAGCGCCGTGCCACCTTTATCATCCCCCACATCTAAACTCGCGCCGCGCTCATGTAGCAAGCTGATGGTATCACAATCCCCGTTCCACGCTGCTAGATGTAGAGCCGCCCAGCCGTCACCATCTTTCTCACTCAAGTCCATCCCTTCATCCAACAGCAGCTTAACGGTTTCGCTGTGCCCGTTCTTCGCTGCATAGTGAAGCACAGTCCAGTCATCGTTGTCTTTCGCGAACAGGTTTGCGCCTCTGTCTAGTAAGAAGCTGACGGCTTCTGTGTAGCCGTTCTCTGCGGCGTTGTGGAGAGGAGAGAGGCCGTAGTTGTCCCTAGCGTTCACGTCGGCACCTTGCCCCAACAGGACGTTGAGGAAGTACAGATGGCCCGTACCTGCCACGTGGTGGAGGGACGTGCGCCCGCTATTGTCTACCGTCGTCATGTCTGAGTTTCACTTTAACTCCGTGCGCCTCTATTTTCTTGTTAAAGTATTTCTGAACCTAAAGGTTAAGTGTTCGAATCTTGGGACCTCGTTCTAGCAGTGCTAGGGGAAATACATGTATGTCTGAGTTTTGGTTAACTGTGAAACCGACAGATATGTAGGGCGGTCGTGTTTGAGGCTAGGTTCTTCTGAACCTAAAGGTCAAGGGTTCGATTCCCGATTTAAGCTGTCTGCGTTCACCTAACCTGTGATAGCTTTCTTAGAAAATATTCCAGTTCTTAGGACAGGTCGTTTTCCCGGTACAATGGACCTAAGCGACACTCTATTCTTGGAGTCACGGCCAGTGAAGAATAAGCTTTCTAGTAGATAACTTGTCACTGTCCGTACATTACATACTGTATATGTACGTTAAGTATTTCCTTGTCGTCAGGACCAATAGAAGATGAGCTCTTAGTAAAGTGTGCCGAGATACACTTCCAATTTACGGACTGTAAACTCGCGATACACCGAAGAGCTGCTCCAATAAATGTTCAGATGTCTAGTACTGTGGACTTGAACCAATCGTCACCTCCAGTGTGTACTATGTCTCTTCTCCTTACCTACTAGGTATGTTATGGTGCAAACTTGAACTGTCACTGTCCGTAAGTACTATGATGATGCCCTTGAAGATTTTTAGAGAGCCTTTTCAAAGAACTATTTTTCTATCGTGTGATACCGGTACATATGATTTGTTATGGTTGATGCAGAGGTATGTTATGCTGCAAACTTTTTGAACCAACTGTCACTGCTCGTATGTAATATCTCTCCCCTTTGACACGGTCAGCGCAAGGATAGCTCTTCAGAAAGCTCTTCCGACAACTATTCCTCTATCCTGTGAACCCGGTACATATGATCTGTTGTTGTGGATGTGCAGGTATGTAGTACTGTGGACTCCAGCTAACCGACACTACCAGGCGTGCTCTTCGCCGACTGTTCTACAATTTTACGAGCCGAGGTCAGCCATGGGGCACCTGATGGGGACAGAAGGGACATACATCATGTTAGACAACATTACACAATGTATTGGCTAGGGCAGACATTTTGGAGTATAAAAAAAATAGCCTGGTATCTATTCAAGTTCCGGTTCGTTCCAGAATATTCTGCACAGAACCGGTCAGATGAGTGAATTAGCAGGAGCTGGAATAGACTGGCTACCAGGTTATAAAGTACAGATGTACTATCATAATAGCAACTGACGCTAAAACAGCAAAACTGGTTTCTAGTAACTTGAAACAGGATATATGGGAACAAATCCTAACAATTTAACTCAGCTCTACCAAGCTAATGCATTTGTGATTACCAACGAAACTTTGAGACCTACATGTAGGAGACCACCAATGCGATGGTATCTTTGCACATTTATATTACGTAACACAATAGCCTTGACAACCATGTAGTTCCCAGACCGCGGTCACATATCAGACATAGCGGGTACCTGACACAAGCGGCCTCACGTCTGCACAGGTTAGAATTACAAAACAGATCTGTGATACCATTCCTTTTGCAGCAAGCTCACCACCAAATTTAGCTCTCAAATTCCCAGAACCTCGTAAACATTACTAGTCGCCAACTGTAGGGGTTGTTTTTGCCAATAGATGTTGAATATTATCCATTTAACATTGAAATTGTGCCAAATGACCAAGAAAACATGTACACACTCCCTGTTTTAGAGCATTCAAGGCTACTTGGTCGTGTCCTATTTCTATATATAGGCAATTGTCGTTAGGCAATGCCACGAACGGATGGGCATGTTCCTGGTTTGATAGTCTGAATTCTTCTAACATAATATAACACTAAAGCAAAGCTTAAAGTATATCAACATCATCTAAAAGTCACCATGCATGCATCACACAAGCAAGGCCCATATTCGTACAAAAAAAACAGCTAAATTCAAAACTCATCTGCAAGGATGCGCTTTAGGACATATCTGGAAAGTTATGCGTATCATATAGCACAGGCGGGGTGTCGCTATCCTACATGGCCTAGAAAGGCGCCCGTCTCTGTATCGAATTCTAACCAGCACGGCTTTCAATCAAAACCCACGCCCGTATCTTTCTAACAGTAAATCTCTTCGCTCTACTATATATCCCTTGTTTATATCCGTTTCGACTCACGCAAGAAGAAATTATCCACAAAATTATCTCACCTCTTGGCCCTCCGCACCGTCCATGTACAGATGTTGCTCAATGGATGCCGCAAGTGGGAGACGGTGCGATTTTACGACAGTTGTGCATGCATGGTGCGTGCAGAAATTTGCCAAGCGTTGCCCGTAGCAACTTCACGTTAACACTGTGTCTTATGAAGACTGCACTGGAGCCCTTTTTCCTTTACCCAAATAAAATACTTCACTCGACAATATCTTAGGTAGATCTGTACATGTATCATGCGTTGCTTTAATAGGTACAACTTACAAGCGTATACGGCCTGGTTTGCTTTGGTTTTCCGCTAATGCCCACGATCACGACAATGATCATTCTGGCATACTCATTTTCACTTGAGCGAAGTGAGGAAAGTAGTCTTAAGTGCCTTTCCCAAGGGCACAAGGTTGCTGACTTGGGGCAGGATTCGAACCCGGGACCTCTTGGTTCTGAGCCGAATGCTCTGACATATTACACCACACAAACTCATTGTAAGATGCACAATAGTATTATACAAAAATAAAATCATTAAAAAAAAGTTTTTTTTTAATAGTACTGCAAAGCAATTACCCAGCATCCCTTGCGGTGATAAAATCTCGTGAGTGACGTCACAAGGTGTTACAAAGGTTGCACATGACGTCATCACCGTGTTCGAAAGTTGTCGAACCGGTATATACTAGTATATTAAAGCAGGTTATAGGTGTGTCCAGACTACAACACCACAACCGATTGGGAAAGCGCCGGAGAAAGATCCAATTCCACACCCTACAGAAACAACGGAGTAGTCAGGATACACAAAGGTACGTTAAAACCGTGGAGGTAAAATTTTCTTCAAGAAGCACTGTTTTGACCTAAACAATTGTCCGGCAATCTATGTCGATGTAAGTTATAATTACAGTGATTTTACCACTGGTTGTAGCAGGGTTTGCTAATGTTGGGCGGCTTTTCTGCATGAAATATGCAGTTTGTAATCTGTCATGTTGAAATTAAAGAGCGCGTATCTAAGCATACGTGTCTCAAAGATGAAATGATTTGGGAAAGGTACTAGTAATCTGAGGCTTCATTCAAACACATGTTTAGCAAAGCAAGACACATACACTTATCTGATTTGGCTTACCGGTGTGTATTATTAAATGGGGTAGTCTGACCTCAATATGTAGTTTGTTATTAAGTGTCATGTTGAAATAAAAGAGCCCAACTCTGAGCATTACATGTCAAATATGAAAGAATTGGGAGTACGTTAATGTTGGGCTACTTTTTGGGACATGTTTAAGACTACTGTTCATTATACAATTATCTGACCTTGCTTAGCAGCATGCCTCATTGCGTACAGTAAAATATGGCCTTTTTCAGTCTTAAATGTGCAGTTTGTATGGTGTCATGGTGGGAAAAATCGCAAAAATCTAAGTACACTTGTCATGGTTGAAAGACTTGTGAATAAGGCAATCTGGTGCCATTTTTGAGGACATGTTCTACAAAGGAACACTGTTCTTATACAATTATCTGACCTTGCTTCCTAGTGCGCATCATTGCATAAAGTAATCTGACCTTTCTACGTTTAATGTATAGTTTGTAAAGTGTCATGTTGAAATTATAGAGCGCAAATTCAAACATACGTGCCAAAGATGAAATAATTTGGGTGCAACGTAATCTGGGGCTACATTTTGAGACATGTTCTACAAAGCAACACTGTTAACATGCAATCATCTGACCTTGCTTATGCCCCATTGTATACAGTAATTTGACCTTTTACATGTAGTCTTAAATGTGTAGTTTGCAAACTGTCTCGCTGAAACGAGTGTGCGCAAATTTACAACTGAAAACCAAAGAAGACTGAATTGAAGTAAGACAATCTGGGATTCTCAGTACTTATGTTAAAACTTATAACAATGGACAGCAGTGTAGACACCTAGTGGTATGTAGAAAAACGAGTTTCGCCGGAGGCGATGGAATCAGATAATTGTGATTGCGTGAGTGTAGAAGAGGGAGCGTAAGCACTTACAAAAACGCCCCAGGCACTGAGGCAACTAGGATCGACTTCGATTCCATCGAAAGAGTAGTAAATGTACACATGTATATGTGTACTCTTTAACCAACAATCTAAATCTTTGAACATTTTCCTTGAGTATGTGTAAGCAACAGTAACAAATAAGGCTCCAAACAAAAACACACACACATAAACACTTGGGTATGTTAGCTAGGCTTAGGGCGCCTAGTAGGATCGACTTCGATTTCATCGACTAAAAGATAGTGTAACAGTGGGGGGGGGGGGTTATAGGCGCTACCAACTGACCCAGCCGATGGGTCTAGACCTTTTAGCCGAGTGGTTAGAGCGTCGGCGTGTGGCCCGGGTAGTAGGTGTACTCTGACTCAATTCAAGAATTACGTTTCTCAAACATACGTTGTTCCCATCTTCCTATTGAATAGGTTTAAGCAATGCTAGGTATGCTGGGCTCACAAGGCCAATTGGATAATGTCTCTTAATTCAAGGACATTACGTACGTAGCGACCTTGGTTTAATAGATACTATCAGGATTTTGACACCAAACTATAATTTGTCTACTTGCTGATTATGTAAGGCGTATATATTAGATTAGTTGTGACAATTGTACGATGTAAATATGAAATATATCACTAGAAGCAACCACCCGTTTCTGAAGTAAGTTTCTGAAAATACACGGATACAGAAATAACACTTGAAAAATTTTCAGTGAAATACTTTTACAAATCATGATGTTTTTCTCTTTTCTAGGCCTCAATGGTGCAACAAAAGGCGTAAAGACGACGTAATAAAGTTGCTAAGAACACAGCCCGACATGGCAACGACAAGCTACCAGAAGAACCAGTCCATATTAACCGATGAAGACGACATTTCGTCCGCGGCTTCCATGGGAAAGTGTTGGAGCAAAACCATGACCGTACCTAACCTCAACGCTCAGGCCATCACAACGGAAGACAAGTCCTTCGCTGAAACCGTCCGCCTGATGCTAGAACGCGGATTCCAGGTACACGTAGATACCAGAGACGAGAACGGTTCTACATGCCTACATCGCGCAGCAGAACTTGGTAGTGTGAACACTGTCGACTTTCTCCTGGGTCTAGGAGCCGACTCGTCTGCGAAAAACGCGAAAGGCTACACCCCTGTGCATCTAGCCACAGAAAACGGACGCTGTGATGTCTTACGTTTGCTGTTGAACCGAGGCGCTTCTGTAAACGCACGGACCAAAGATGGGAGGACGTCGCTTCACCTAGCCGCGGCGTTGGGCCACTGTGGTGCCGCAAAACTCTTGTTAAACTACGGGGCAAACGCGAACGCACAATCTAAGCTAACAGAAGCGGATGGCGACTTGTGTCACCGTAGTTATGCCTCACACAACAAGACACCGTTACACCACGCGGCAGAGAACGGCCATTGTGACTTTATCACTTTATTGCTGAACGCAGGAGCGAACATATCGGCTGTAAACTGCGACAACAAGGCGACGGCGCTGCATTATGCAGCTATGAACGGCCACGGCGACGCCGTCAGCGTTCTACTCGACTACGGAGCCGACATAGAGGCCGAGTTTTTCCGCAGTAGGACAGCCCTCCACCTTGCGTGCTTGGAGAATCGGTACGAGGCGGTACGCGTCCTGTTGAGCCGAGGAGCGAAGGCAGACGCCCGGGCCCACTACAGGCTAACCCCGCTACACTACTCCGCAAAAACCGGCAACTGTGGTCTCATCAGCCTCCTGCTACAAAACGGTGCAAGCGTGGACGATGTGGATTGTTACGGGTTGACAGCGTTGCACTATGCCGCACAGCATGGACATTGCGGCGCCGTTCGCTTCTTGGTAGAACAGGGCGCAAACGTGAACGCAGAGACATTCAGAGGCATGACAGCACTCCACCTTGCCGCTCACAAGGCAGACCAGGAAGACGCAGTTGGTCTGTTGTTAAGTCTAGGCGCAGATATGAACGTAAAATGTACATATGATCCTAGACTGCGAAGCAACGCGCCTGAATGCGGGGGCACGGCCTTACACATCGCCGCCTACTACGGCAACGACAAAACCGCGGAGACTCTCTTAAACCGCGGGGCTGATTTAGACGCAAGGGACGAGGACGGGTTGACTGCGCTTCACCGCGCGGCCGCAAGAGGGCGTGATCGCCTGGTGAAACTTTTCCTAACCCGCGGCGCGAACTTGGGCGCGAGGGACAAGTCCAAACGCACGGCGCTCCACCGCGCGGCTTCTGAAGGCCACTGGCAGACCGTTACCCTACTACTAGAGCAAGGCGCGGACATAAAAGCTACAGACGAGTGCGACTTAACCGCCCTACACCTTGCCGCAGCTAAAGGCCAGTGCTATACCGTCTATACCTTACTCAAAAAGGGCGCTAACATAAACGCACGGACAGTAGGCGACCAGACGCCCTTACATCTAGCTGCTAGCGGATCCGACTTTAATTTTTCCCACTCTCTCCACCCTGGGAGGCATAACCACGAAGCGACCATGGAAATCTTGCTAGCCAACGGTGCAGACTGGACCGCCATAGACACACAGGGACACCAGCCGCTGCACCTCACTCGGAGGTTCGCTAGGCGGCAGGACTTGTTGTTAGCGCACCAGACACACTACTCCAGTCTACACTGGATCTGTCGACTCAAGATCAAGTCTACACTTCTACTGAGGGGACTGGAAGGAGGAGAAAGTTCTTGGCAGACGCAAGAAGACGCCGTCGACACCTTACCTGTCCCCAACTTACTTAAAGACTATCTTCTACTAAGGAATTCTGATGAGGTTAAGTCATTCTGTTAGGTGTATCTGAGGAACTCTGATGATAAGTTTTTCTGTTATAAGTGTTGGCAAGTAAAATATATAGTGGTTGACATATCATGTTTCGTAAATATAACTACTATACTTAAGCACGAGAATTTACAGCATAGTATTATGTAATATGGTTCTTTATTGGTTTTAGATGTTTTATGAATAAAGCTATTAGAGTAGATGTTGATGAATGTGCCATATCTGAGCTTAAAAGACATATTCCTAAAATAATACAGAAAAATCCTAAAATTGAAGTATTTTTATTTCATTCATCATTAAACTGGTGCCATATATTTGTGTTTGCAACATTATGTACCAACCTGCACACAAATGAATGTCTATTTTGCAACACAATAAAAATAGACACATACTATGTCTTCTTCCACTCGATATCTGCTATAATGGCAATGTGGTCTGACGGAAACACAATACTTGGCAGCGCAGTGTTAGCTGTCACCTCCTCGTGCGTTGGCATGGGGATGGTTTGATTGACGGCCAGCTGACAGGTGTCAATCATGATGTAGTCCAGGGTGCCCTGGAACCCCCCTACGTAGTTGGTATAGTCCGGGATCCCACATGCGCTGGTGAGACTGAAGGGGTGGGACAGGTCAACGCCCTCTTGTAGCTCCAGCTTGCCATCTGGAAAAAGAAAAAAACTTTGTCAGATACAAGTCTAAAGAGAAATAAGAAAATCATTGTACAGGCAATTATGAAGGACTTAGGCTTATTAAAGTGCTGTATATTTTTCTCACCAAACCAAACGTTTTGGGGCTTGGGAGATGATGCAAAGCTATTGCATATTAAATCCATGTGAAAATCATGGGACATTCTGAGGCAGAAATTGTCTACAAACCTAAAGAAATACCGCACACACCCAAATGTATGAAGAAACAAAAGTCTACAAAAAAAATACAGTAACTACAACATCCCTGGTGCCTTGTTACAAAATGATAAACTGGTATCATAAACTTGAATCTTGTGCTGCAAACACACAAGTAAAGCTTGGATACAAGGCTTCAGAAGCAGCTGGAAACCGTGAGACAGCAAATGTACTCCTTAGCGGACCAACTCCCCTGGCATATTATCTGTCTTTTTTTTTTTAACGGAAAGGTTCAATGCAAGGCCTATACGACCACTTCTCAGCATTGAACTAGAGATATGAGAGATACATGGGTATGTCAAGAGATGGCGGTGAATGTTTGATTTGAAAGCCTGTAGATTGTAGGTTGGTAGGAAACACTTGTCAGGGAGGGAATTCCAAAGCTTGGTCGTACGGGGAAAGAAACTGTCACTGTAAAAAGCTTTCGAACAAGGAATTTGGACGGTGAAGTTGTGTGAGCTAGTGGAGAACCTAGTGGAACGCTTAAAAGAACTGAGTGGTGGAACTAGTTGGGTGAGTTCTGCAGAGCAATGACCATGAAAATATCTGTAAAAGAGGGATAGAGAGGCAACATTTCGTCTATGGGAAAGGGGGTCTAACTTGGAGGCCAGAGGATAGCCTTCATATTTGGCCAATTTCTACTCTTTCCAGCCGCTTCTGAAGCCTGGTAGAGGCTAAACCTTCCCTACCTTCAGTGGTCTGTGGTTCAGCAGGGAACCAGTCTGAGTGGGATGCTGGGACAGCTGCACTGGTCAGCAGCTGGTACAGCCCAGAGGTCGGGTGGCTGTTCAGGTCACCACACAGCAGCAGGGAAACACTGCTGTCCTGGAAATAATGATACACACTTGTATATCTTCTCTTGATTTATTTACCATATATTTTGTATCTTCTGGTGTCCTACATACCCTTGGATGCATAAGTGCAAGACACCTTAATAAAGCTCCATTTATTCATTCATTGCATGATTTTGAATTGAGGAGAAACATGGGCCTTTACAAACAAACAATGTATCTATTGGACCAAATAAATGCGAGTAAAAATCTATTTTTTAAATCATGCTCCTTGTCAAGCCCTAGGCTTTTAAAAGCCTTTGCTGACTTCATTCTGTAAAAATGATACAAAAATTAAGGTATATTCTGTACATGTAGGTAAAGAAGTAGAAGAAATATGAAAATCTCAGCTACCCTCCCTCTGAACCAAGAGGTTGGGAGTTCCAATCCCAGCTGTGTTGCTTACCCAACATGCGTGCTAAATGTACAGGAAAGGGTCATGGTACTGTATATAAATGGAACGATCTAAACACACATATTATTGTTAGAACAGACTCTTACCTGAGTAGAGTTAGAGTTGACAACCTTCTCCAGAAACTTCAGACACACGGCCATCTGTATCAGTCTGACATGAGGAGCCCGGGGGTGCCAGTACAGGTGAGTGTTTGCCACACACAGTCTTCTACTGGGGTCTTCTACAGATTCTAACAACACCACCTGGAAAAAAGAAATAGAAAGACCTGTAATTACAGCTATTGCCTTCATACGAACTATATTGAAATAACTAGTACATCAAAGTTGTAACCAATTTCAATTTCAATTTTATTAAGAATAGTCAACATAGCAGAGGTACATAGTACTCCTGAATTTTGTGGACTTTACATATTATTAAGTATAAGAAACGCACAAGACAATTACATACAAGAGTGGGACATGAAACAAAAGAACACTAGGTCTACATTTGGCTATTGTACAGTCTGATTGTGCAGTGGAGGAACGAGTTATACAGTCTGTTTGTCCGTGCCTTGGGCACCATGATTCCCCCAGAGTTCCTCAAACACCTCCCTGTGCTGTCCAACCTGGCTCCTGGTACCAAATCATGTAGTGGGTGGTCAGGGCTGAGCATACGCTTGAGCAGCTTGACAGCCGCAAGTTCACGTCTTTCAACCAATTATTCATTGAGACTTTTGTATTGTCCTTTGTGGCATGCATAGTTCAGTGGTTAGCAACCCTGCCTCTGGACCAAGAGGTTGGGAGTTTGAATCCTGGCTGTTGTCACTCACCCAATATACATGCTACTGGAAAGGGTAGCAATCCTTGGTACAGAATGTGAAGCCATGGTCAACTATTCATTGTGCTTGTTGAAAAGACCTAGGGGAAATTCCCTGCTAGAATGAACCTTTAAATACTAATAGTACATAATTAGCTCTTCAGTAACCTAAAACTAGATCACTTTTTCGTGCTGTACCTGTAAGACAGTTGACCCTGAAGCGACCTTGTTGAGGACAGCAGGACTGTGGGACAGCCATTTGTGAAGGTCATGACAGCAGGGATCGCTGGACAGGCACTCACCAATGACAATGTCATCCTGACTTAACAACCTAGGAAGAGAAGGAAATATTAGCTTAGAGAGTCAGAACAGTACATTAGATTTGTTCTATTCCTATGATTTTCTTGGCATTAATTATGAAAGGTTTTTCTATTTGGATCACATACAGAGACTGCATCTCAAATAATGAAGAACAAAACATAGTCAAACAAAGCATAGGTCAATACAAAGGCCTCCTAAGCACAGTCAAGAAATGGAAACTGAAGTGGTATGTACTTGTGTTATGATCATCCAAACTAGCCAAGACCATATATATAATGCAAGGAACAGTGCAGGGAGGAAGAAAGAAGGATAGGCAATGGAAAAGATAGGAGACTAAAGGAGGTTGAATATCAGAGAATGGAACAGCATGACACCAGTGTAATATTAAGAGGAACAGAAAACAGAGAAGGGTGGAGAAAACTGGTTGTCAGATCTTCTGTGGTGCCCCTACAGTCAAATAAGTAGACTAAAGGATAGATGAGATTCCTGTAAGTGTGTAACTATTACAGGAACCTTTCCTTAGTTTCTACCCTCTGACCTGAACTTGTCCTTAGAGTAGAAGACAGCCTCCCCCTCTGACTGTTGTCCCTTCCCCATGAACACTCCCTCCATACCGGACAGGTCCAGAGCAGGGACCAGGGCATCAGTAAACAGGGTCTTCCCTGTCTCCTGGAGGACTAGCAGGTCTGCATTGTAACCTGCATGTGAAAAACAAACATAACAACTTAAGAGAAGAGATGAGAAGGCATCAGAACATCATTAAGCAGAGACTTCCCTGTCTCCTATAGGACTAGAACTTTAGAACTATAGGACTAGAGTATTCAGGAAATACCAGTAAATACTGTCAGCCAGATGCTGAATTACCTATCAGTTACAATCTCTGTTGAGTACAAACAATGTCGTGATTCACATAAAATAAAAATTGCATACATACCGTGCCAGAGGCTTACAAGCTTACAAAGATTTTTTTAAAGACAAGCATGATGAAGCTTGACATCATGAAAATATGGAGTTGTTACACAAGAGTATATAGATAGGACTTTTAAGTCTTATCTATGTACTTGTGTAACAAGTTCATCTATGTACTTGTGTAACAAGTTCATAACTAGATTACATGGTTTATGTTTTACCTGTTATAAAAAATAGATACAAAATATATGATCAGTCCCACCTACGAGCTCCTTGAGCAGCAGCTGTCTCCTGTAGTCCAGCTCAAGGGCGTACGGAGGACAGTACGGGTACAGCACCGTCAGGGACAGCTCGGTTTTAGCGTACACGTCTGCCAGGATGTTGTAGGATACCACTCGGAAACTGCAGAGAAGATGGAAGAATAAGAGTTGATGAAGGTTAGACATCCAGGAAATGATATACACAAGAAAACAGTTCTTAAGCAAATGGATAGACTTTGAAAATTGTCAGACACTTAAAGTAGAATTCACTTCTTCAGTCACTGACAAAAAGTAGTGGATGCTACTTGAAACAGTCTGACAGTTTTCAAATTCTATCCAGTTGCTTGAGTGACTGTTTTCTTACAAGTGCAAAGACCTTTTTCAAAGCACTACAGCTCTGTGTTTGTTTAGGCATCTGTTGTATGAAGGAAATCCAAAACTACAGAAGATTCTAAAGAAACTGGAAAGACTTTCCAGCATTACTGTCTTTGAAACAGTCAGAATTTTATTTTTTTACCACTAGAGCTGTACTCACCATCCTTTTTCTGTCCTTTTCTTGGTGTACATGTGTCTGTTCTCAAACGGACAGAGTCCCGGTCCAGCCTCCACCTGACATGACGTCACCGTCTCCATGGTAACGCCCTCCTTCCCATCATGCCTCGGGGTGCAGGTGAACTTTAACCTTGACCCGATGTCAGAGTTCACTGGGGTGTAAATGAGGTCGTGAGAAGCCTGGATCCAGTTTGTTTGTTTGTTGTCTTCGTTAGATTTCCTTTTGGAGTCTCCTGAGTTAGCTGTACTTGTTGAAGGGGTTGGGTTTGAGGTGTCCTCTCTGTACCAGGTATAGGAGGAATCCTCTAGACTGGCAAAGTCAAGGTCTAGTCTGGAACAGAAAATGGTGGCAAGGTCACAGAATGAATGTAACAGAGAATGGACAGTGCAGTGCTATAGCAATACTATAACAGCAATATTTAAAACACCAGCTTTGCTAAATAAGCTATAAATGATAACATAACTGAGATGACTATGCTTAGAGTAATACTATTGAATCTGCTAAAATAAAAGACACATAACATATGTACATTGCTCTATAAGATACAAAGTTTGTTCAGAGTTTTACGTTACATTTCAATCCCCAGTATTGATATGTTTCAGTATCAACTGTCTTAATACATATAACACACGTAAAATAACTATTATAACTTTTGATATAATGTGAACAATTGCTGTTTTTGTTTACATCATATAAATGCAGTTTATTTGAAGACAAATAACCCAATTCTCACCCACCTTTTGCCTACCACTTGCCAGTGGTGCCATCATGGCGATCTCTCGGATAGATAATATAGAAATCAGTGAACAAATTTTCTCACCTGGGAAACACAGGAAAGCCTGCCATGATGGAAATGGGCAGGACCACCGACTTCACCATAGGGGGGTTCACGCTCACCACATATCTGTCCTCCCCTATTTCTAAAATGGCGCCTTCCTGCCAAGCCTCTGAGTTGGGGACATCATCTTCAACTTTCACCTTGTTGAAGATGAGCTGAGCAGTGATGGCATTACTCTCGCTTTCTGCATTTGCACCTTCTAGTTTTGCTTTCTTCTTCTTCTTTCCTTTGTTCAGGTGCTTGGTGGCGTTGAAGACTATTCTGTTCAGAGCCTAGCGGCATAGAAGAAAAAAAAATGTTTCAAAAGATGGACAAAGATTTGTGTGGTTGTGCATGTGGGAAGCATAAATATCATCATATATAATCATCATATATACCATGATATTTTTAAGTCCTCAGTAGTGAACAAATTCTGTTACAGAATTTGTTCACTACTGAGGACTTAAAAATATCATGTGCATATGCATGTTATATTCCCACATTCGGAATTGACTGTCCATTGTACGAAATTATGGGCCTTTATTACTCTCCAAGCAGAGGTTTGGGTTTTGGCGTATTTTAGTGAGTTTATAGTTTTTTTATCGGGGTTTCTTTTTTGCACTGGAATTTTTCTTTCACCCAACCCAAAAAGAAAAAAAAAGAAGAAGAAAAATTCCTGTGCAAAAAAAAAGAAACCCTGATAAAAAAAGCCTAAAAACACGCTAAAACACCCCCAAACCCAAACATCTGCTTGGAGAGTAGGCCTTTGTATATAACGTTATATGTACTGTACAATGCCTACCTGGCTACCTGCACTGGTCCATGTACTGGGTATATATACTGTGTGTATGTGGACTTGTATTTATGTATTGACAGTTAACACACAAAAAGCAGCTTTGTAAGTAAAGACAAGCTAGAACTACTCACGCCTCCCAAAGTCTCCGTCTTGGCCCTGAGCAGATTTCTCTGCCGCTCCCCTAACCTGTACGATATCGTCATTTTCTCCTCTTCTGGCACGCATCTCACAACACAACGCTGCATGGCGAAACTTCTACACAGGACGGACCTTTCGCCCAACAAAAAAGTACCAAGTCTGGGGGAAATTCGCCGTAAAAACATGAAATTGGGAGTGAAATTGCGACTCGTGTTGCAACGGCAGACGATATGAAAGGTCAGAGGTCATTACACAATGCTTGGACCGCTCACGCGCGCCCTCCAGCGGCGATGTTTACAACTGCAACCCAGAAAGCCTAGATCCGAGTCCAAAGTGTTTTCTTGGTTGCAGTTGTAAATATCACCGCTAGAGGCGCGCGTGAGTGGTCCAGTTGCTCTAGTCACAAGTGTTGAAGGCCATTAAGTTTAAGATATAGAGGAAAAATACTGTCAGTAGGGTTTACATAAAAGTATATCTTACTGTTGTCTGAGTTACTATTGACTGATTAAAACGAGAAAGCAACGCACGCTTCAAATCAGTGCAGTATATAACCAATAACGTTGTCACTCACACACTAGTTCTATAAAATCAGAAGTTATAGTTCCACTTTGAAAGTTGCATTGATGCCAACCTGAATGTAAGAGTATACAAGAGAACGCTAACGTATACAAGTATTTGGTGTATTACTGGAAAACATAGCTGGTGAAGCTCTGCTGACATGTACGTAAACCAGACCAGCCTTTCTGTGGAAGCACAAGCGGTCTGTCTTCTTTCGACCGATGCTGTTGTCTCTTCATTCTCGACAAGATAATCCGTTTGTATCCAAGTCTTGACGTCACTGTTGTGAAGAAAAACGGCGCCCTAGAACCATGGTATAGTATCAAAACGGACCACTCTTGTACCATTTTTCTCAAAGAATGTGCAATGAGACAGTGAAGAAATAGGCGTCAAGCGTCAACTTGCCAGGTGAGGGCTTGGCGGATGTAAATTCTTCCTTAATACTACGAAAACAGTGGTTTTTACCGTGTCTTTCCTGTTCTGTTATGAAAGCTTAATACTTACGACAGCCTAACCCATATGACGTCAGAATGACGTAGCCCTCTCTGGTGGGTGGAAAACCGCATGTCTTCCCCATGTTCTGTGATAGCCTCTTCCAGGCTTCGGGAAGCGGTCTTATAAAAAAGTAGAAACTGGACAGACAACATACCAGGGGAGTTTGCCGCTCCCAGCTTCTGGCATGTTATTTAGCCAGTTTCTCATTTTTTTCTAGTCCCATCCCGAAGCCTGGTAGTTAGGCATGTTCTGTGGTGGTAGCCTCTATCAGACTCCGGGAGGCGGATTGAAAGAGTAGAAATTGGCCAAATAGAATGATAACATGCCAGGGTAGTTGGTCCGCTTGAGAGTACAGTTTGCCGCACCCGAAGCCTGGTAGAGGCATGTTCTGCGGTGCCTTGTCTACGCGAACCGTCTCACGTACAAACATTTTTATGGTGGTGACTGAGAAACCCCGTACAAATATCTGTGTGGTTTCATAACTGCCTGTTTTCCCAGCATCACCAATACAATCATTTCCTTCCTGCATTTGAAGGCCGAGCAAGTCTTTCCGAGTTTTCCGATTGCGTGATCATGTGTGTGGACGGTCTCAAGTTCACGTATAAGGTCCTTGAGAAGAGTGAGTATTATGATAATGATGACAATGGCTCATTTGTTTCTCCTAATGAGAATTTTTGTTTCCTTAACTCGCACGTCATACAGATTTGCGTAAGAGAATGACTACGTATTGCTGAGACCCAGTTGTTTCTATACTTTCTAAAGAAGTATATATACACAACAGCCAAAGAGTACATGTGTTTGCGTTTACGTTGTCGTAGCCTCTACCAGGCTCCAGAGGCGGCTGGAAAGAGTACAATTTCTACTCTTTCTGGCTGCTTCTGGAGCCTAGCAGAGGCTAGTACGGGCGCACGTGTGTATGGCTGATTGTACGCATGTTTTCAGAGACATTTCAAGGTTTAGTCTATATTGTAGCATTTGCAATGAGGGACTTGTGCAACATCGTTCTTGAACTCTACATGAACCGTATCTATCCATGCGCTTCGTACATTTTACAAGTCAAAGCACGAACAGGAAAGCTAGAACCGTGTCCAGAATTGTGCCTATCTAGTTCTATGCCTGGATGGGTTAGACTTTGTTGGGATCAGGCACGGTTCCGGATGGTCTCCGCGTATCCAAGAACGTCGACTTGCCCAATGTACGGTTCTGGATACGCGTGGACTATCCAAAACCGTGCCCGAGCTTGGCTCTGGATAACACGATTCTGGATACATCTATAGTCGACTCGAAGCACTAAGTGCAAGAGAACTGAGTGAGTGAGGATGAAACAAGGACGGCCTTTTCAGAAGTTACAAAGCTCGTTTCTTGTCCGCGAGTGACGATGTGTTTTGGTGGTTGGGCTGATTGTACAACAGGTTTTCGTCAGGAAATACTGTGTGAGTATACATGAAAGGTTCTTGACATCTATATGGCGTTTCATGTAACAAACAACATACGACACATGCTTCAGAAACGGAAGGGGGGGGGGCTGTACCACATATTCCATGACAGACCTAGTTTCCTTTTCTTCCAAGAAAAACCCAAAACGTTCGTGTGTTCTTGCACGTTTTCAACAATGACTGGCACAAACATGTTTCCTGTGGATATACAAGTTTGTGCTGACCCACGTGCACGTTTGTAATTTCATGTCATTTATCATTTTCTAGAGAAAAACCAGACACTTGATACACCGTGGGGGTATAAGACGAACAGGGGAGGGGGACCTGTCCCAAACATGACAGAAACTGAATAGCAAAGTTCTTTGATCACAACCATTTATTTTTCACAGAGTTTTATTTTTATTTTATGACGATTTACCACATTTGTGGAAGGATTGACATAACAGGTGACTCTTCAAAGATATCAACCCCGAGACCACACTGATAGGTTTGAACCACTCACACTGGGAAGGTCCCCTACTCTTCTCGATAAGTGCGGTGGGTTCTTTAACGTGCGTGGGGTGTGGCTCTCCCAAACACGGGACCTCCATTTAACGTCCTATACGAGGGACGTCCCTAGCCGAAGCTAAGTACTCATTTACACCTGAGTGAAGTGAGGAATGTCGTGTAAAGTGCCTTTCCCAAGGGCACAAGATCGGTGGCATCGGGCAGAATTCGAACCCTCGCCCTCTCGAGTCTCGGCCGAAGACGCTACCGCTACGCCACACGACCCCACAAGTTCAGAAGACACTGGGAAGAGATTAACCTAACAGCCCACACAGACCCTAAGCAAAACAGGGGCGTCTTGCGTGCTACTTGATTGACAAAGGAGCAGAGATAAGAAATGAGAGAAACTGTTTCTTCCTTTTCTACCAAGAAAAACGAAAGACGTGGGCGTTTTCTTATACATTCTCAGGTGTGACTTGCAAAAAACACGTTTCCTGTGGCCTTGGTTTTTTAGGACGATAAGCAGGTTTACCTGAATGACATGTTTTTAAGAAGCAGAGTTCAGAAGACACTAGGAAGAGATTAACCTTAACAGCCCACACAGACCTTAAGTAAAACAGGGGCGTCTTGCGTGCTACTTGATTGACAAAGTAGCAGAGATAAGAAGGCAATGGGAAAGAAGGAACAATCCTGAGATTGTATCCTACAGATACAGGGGAATCTAAGAAATGGCCCTCGTGGGAGCCACCTGTTTCGTCGCTAACTTTTTTTCCAACATGTAATCACAAGACGTGGTGAGGACACACTCAAGTTTTTTCAACTTATACATGTATTATTGCCGCCACCAACAAGAGCACATGTACAACACAATACTCATTTTCACCCGAGCGAAGTGAGGATTCGTGTAAACTTTATAATTTACGAGTGCACAAGATCGGTGGCATGTCGGGACTCGAACCCGGGACCTCTTGGTTCCGAGTCGAGCACTCTACCGCTACACCACACACTTGGTAACATGTCTTCCGTATCCCTGGAAGACGACAAGACAAATCGTGAAATAACGTGTCCAAAAGACTCTGAAATGTATGACATAACATCAGATACGCCGCATGGACACATGCCACATGGAAAAGTTCCTGCTAGGATCCTAGACGTAACGCCCACTGACGACGGCATCTCAGAAACCAACGCGACGTCTTGAAGGATCCTAACGAAGTGTGCAGGACACTTAACAGAGTTTTCAGACGATTCCTACAAAGATAAGAAGGTGACGTCCTTTAAAGTCGTAATTCGCACATTCCTTCTTTCGAAATTATAATTAATGACATCCGGTATTTTCGTTACCGGGGCAAAATATCCTCCTTAATACCCCAGATTTCCGTTTACCTCACCTGCAAGGAAGTTTGACTCGAGAAGAATTTTCACTTTTCTTGTGTTCTCTTTTCTAAACCCAGGTGGCAAACACCTAGCCTCCACCAGGCCTTTCTACGGGAATACGGATCGTAGAATTCGGCAAAAAAGAGAGAAAAATTGGCCAAGGGAGTCCGGCCGCGGGGAGGTAGTTTCTTTCCCTCTAACTGAGTGGCCAGTCAAACCTACAAGGCGGCCAAACTCCCCTGGCAATTATTCTCCTATGTATAGCCAGCGTAGTTAGTCTGGTAGAGGCTAACAAATACCCTACAGGTAAACATGTCTGTACAATACAGCCCCGGGTCTCATAGTTGTGTAATTGGTGTGTTTGGAACATAACAGGACAGTGACTGGCATTCTAGTCTGTAATTTCAGTTAAAAGGTCATCATGACCTAACTAGTGTTGTCTAGATCTGAAAAACACATCGAATGGATGGGTAACTTGTGTTAGCAAGACAAGTGAAAATCACAACTTAACATAGCCTCTCCCAGGCTTCAGAGGCGACGAGAAAGAGTAGAAATTGGCCCAAATGTAGACAGATAACATGCCTGGAGAGTTCGTAAGGTAAAGCGGTGTACTGTTAGCCTCTCCTTTAGCAGACCAACTCCCCTGACATTTTAACTGTCTATTTGGCTACTTTCTACTCTTTCCAGCCGCTTCTGAAGCCTGGTAGAGGCTAAGACAAAAACGCACACGCACATAACTTCTCTTAGCATGGAAAGTCACCTGTGTTGGTGAACGACGTTATTCTGTGTCGGTTCTATAAACTTTAAATTCATCTTGTGTCCAGACTCTGTATCTGTATCTGTATCTGTATCAGTATAGCCGGTATAACTGCCCTTCGGCGTAACACACCAGCTTTGCAGG